TATATAATATCTGTTAGATATATTAGATATGTTAGATCTAATAGATCTGTTAAAAATGTTAGATTTGTTAGATTTCTGGCACAGTAATATGAGCCAATTAGAATCAAGTTACATGTATTAGAATTAGTGCTTTCATCAAAATCATTCTGATCTTGTGATTCTGCAATCAGAATCACATGATCTTGTACTTGTTAGAATCATCTCAGTGAGTTGAATCCAATGATGGTTGTTTTATACAATTTGGTTTGGTACATCAAAAGTTATGGTCAAAAATGTATAAAACTCTTAATGTTAATAATAGTATGATAAGTTCTTGTTATTAGTTAGATTGTAAATAATAATTAGATTTATAAGCTGCAACTTAACTGATAAGATTTTTATCCATAATGTCTAATATAAGCACTGTCATTTTTCATATATATTAATCATTTACTAATTATTTAACTTATTTTTACTCTTTGTTTATTTTTTTTTAGTTTCAATTAATATTTGTTTTTACTTCTTACACTTTTTATTTTTTTTATAAATACTTTTGCTAATATGAGTTTCATACAAGCTTTACAACTTCCTATACAAGAAGAAATTAACGAGTTACAAAAAGTATCACTTGTTTCAAATATTGAACAAAATACATTTTTTTGGCTTCATGCTTTAGTTCGATTTAATAAAAGTTGTGGAATATTCAAATTTATTGAATTAATTGATTCAGTTGTAGAACTTGAAACTTATCTTTGCTAATTTATAACATAGTTGAAAAAAGATGACGGTTTTGATTATAAAGTTGAATCCATCTACAATTGTATAGTGTAATCAATAGATATCTTAAAGATCATAGTGTTTTTCAACTAATAAAAATTTTTGATCAATACCAATTTCTCTATGCTTTTCAAAACTTAAATAGAAAAATTCAGATTTTGTAAAATAAGAAATTAGAAGATACAAAACAATCTCTGAGTTATCATTAGTAGAAATTAAACAGATACTTGACTATTGATATATGGATATTAATACAAGTTAATTGCTTTTGCATAGGGTCTTCTTTGATTATGTTTATTGTGCAGACTATGAGGTAGTAATGCATATAGAATTTGCAAAAAGAATCTTAAATAACACTATGATTAAGGATTGAAGCTTGTATTACATAAAGAAAAAAATACTCAAAGAGGTGTTTTTTATTGACATAAGTATGAAAAAACAAGTTCATGACATATTTCCATATCATCAAATTTAGTTAATACCAAATATATTCCAGTAAATGATATTTTTCTCTATTTGTCAAAAGTGTCTGATTCAGTATTAGTAGATTCTTTTTTTTATGAAACTTATAAATCAAAAAAAGGTATATATATTATGTAATACTGATATAAAAAATTTTAATTTGGATAATTAATTTAACTATTTTTATTAAAGATCTTCTAAAAGGATGCTGGTACAAAAGTATTTCTATAGATTATGGAAAATTGAAAAAAATAATGAATGATATTGTGACATATATAGATATTGATCTCAGTATTAAATGAAAAATCACAACTATTTATACTATTAAACTGCAATTCAATTACTAAAAAATAATGATCTTTCAGATTCTGATTTACAGTCATTTTTTAGATATTGATCATATGAAAGCCTAGCTGATTATTGTAAACTTAGTAATGATTAATGTATTTTAAATACAGCACAGTTAATTTCTTTTACTTCGAATGAATTAGATTTAGATAAGTATGATTTTTTTAAAGGCATGTTTGAAGAAAATGCTATTAATATAGAACAAGGTAATTTATATATAATAATAATTTTTAAAATAATTTAAATTTAATATTTTTTATTAAATTATTACAATTTTAAAATATACTATGATTAAATTTTATTTATATATTTTTAATTTTTTTTAGATTACAAAATTAAAGCACAAATGACCCAAATTTCTAAAGCTCAAATACCCAAATTCCTTAAGCACAAGTGACTCAAATTTCTAAAGTACAAGTGACCTGAATTTTTGAAGTACAAGTAACCTAAGTTTCTACAGCACTTGCAATTAAAGTTCCTATAGTACAAACAACTTAAGTTTCTATGACACAAGCAACTAAAGTTCATATAACAAATTAAGTTTCACTTCAAATTTAAAATCTAAATAAAGTAAAAACCTCAAGATTTTCTAAATTAAAATCCTATACTCAAACTCATCCTTCTTCTTCTGTAATAGCATCTTTTAAACCTTCTTGTCTTTTTAATTCATTATTGTTAGCTTCTTATAGAAAATGTTAAAAATTATTATCTGCAGTTAATAATATTGTTATTCAACTTCTTTCTAGTACTACTTTACAAAGTTATGATCTAAAAATAGATTTGAAAATTAATTAGATCTTTAAATATAACTGATTTATTATTAATTGCAAATTAATAAATACTTAGTTTTGTTTTATAAACATGACCAAAAATTGTATATTTTAAATATAAAGTAATCAAAAATTGAATTATTACATGATTAGTAAGTAATTGAATAATATATATGAAAAATGTTCAATATGCATATAGAACATACCAGATAAGTTATAAATTAAATAATATTAGTTTTTTGCTAATTTATCTACTATATTGTTAACAATGCTATTGCTATATGCAACTACTCTTTGAAAGTTAACTTCAATTTGGTAAGTTTTAATTAGATTTAGTAAAATATGCCATATTGACAAATAATCAGCTTTGTATAAAGTAGACCAAAGCTTAATTTCTACTAAGTAGCTTTGTATAGTTATGTTATTTTTGAACTTAAATTCAATCAATTTTTATTTTATATTATTTAGATATAATATGTATTACTAATTTATTAGCATAAAAGGTTAGTTGTAATTTATTGAGATTATGTTGTATAATTAGTTGTAGTGTTTGTGTAAAATAATTGTTATTAAATATTTTAAGTATCAGATTATTATAAATTGTAATTGTAAAAGATGTAAATATTATAATAAGATGTCTTAGTACAATTAAGTATAGTAAATCTAGTAGATTAAATGTAGATTAAGTCTTTTAGCGAGTTTGTATAAACAGTTCTTCTCAAAAATTTGATTGCAAGGCTAGCTGTAATTTCAAATGTATATTGTTTTGTATATAATTAGAGTTCAAAAAGCATTCTATACATTGTTTGCAAATATAGTCTGAATAAAAGTATAATATTGTTTGTAAAATATTAAAATAGATTATCTAATATACAATAGAAATAAAGTCATCTATTTAATTATGTCTTCTAGCTTTTCTAATAATTATGCCAGTTTAATTGTATATAATTAACTAAGGTTTTGGTTTAATTTTATAATGCTCAGTTATAAAAGATAATGAATTTATATTTGATAACTATAAATATTAGGAATTGATTTTTCTTGTTTGTTAAAAAGTAAGTAGATTATTTTTTAAAATTAGAAACATAGTAGATTATAACTTTTGAAAAAAATTGTTGTATTTATAAAGAAATATATTGCCAGTTTAATAGAATTAAGTTATTGCTTAAAGTTAATTGTTCTAAATATATAATTTGTTTTGTACAAAGTTGTTTTTTGAATTGAGAATATAATTTGTATAAATGTAATAGTTTTTTGTAAATATATATAAATGTTAAAGTGTAAAGGGTTTGAAATAGCCAGAATGTGTTTGGATAATTAGTTAAAGATTATTAAATAGTTGTATAATTTTAAAAATAATAGTGTGTTTGTTTGATCTATCTATTATTAGATTGCTATAATATAAAATGTTGATTGTTAATTATAGATTATTTTGTAATTGTTAAAGTCTAATATGAGTACTTATGTCTATAAAATTAGTGTTATTAATACAGAGTAGAAAGTTTAAAATATGGTATTGGATCTGTATATTTCATTTTTTTTTTTTTTTAGTGTTAAGGTAACCTCTTTGGTCTTTTGACTTTTATTAATCACTTATCGGTATTGTGGTTCAATAAACCACTACAGGA